TGAAATGAAATGAAATGAAATGAAATAAATAAATGAAATGAAATGAAATACATGAAATAAATGAAATGAAATGAAATGAAATGAAATGATATGAAATAAATTAAATTAAATTAAATTAAATAAATGAAATGCAATGAAATGAAATGAAATAAATGAAATGAAATGAAATGAAATGAAATGAAATGAAATGAAATGAAATGAAATGAAATGCAATGCAATGAAATGCAATGAAATGAAATTAAATAAGTTGGTGACTGACTGGAGGGTGGGCAGGGCCTGGGCCCAGCCGTACAGGTTGTGCACGTCGAAGTGGCGCAGGCGGGTCCCGTCCGGCAGCTCCTGCTGCCCCTCCATGCAGATGGTTTTGTAGCTCAGCCCCTCCGAGCGGGAGCCCAGCTCTGCCCGGGGAGATTAAAATAAAATAATCGGGAATTAATTAGGGAATTAATTAATTAATTAGGGAATTAATTAATTAGGGAATTTATTAGGGAAATAATTAGGGAATTCTGGGTTTGGAACTCAACCCCTCCGAGCGGGAGCCCAGCTCTGCCGGGGATTACAAAAAATAATCGGGAATTTATTAGGGGATTAATTAATTAATTAGGGAATGAATTAATTAGGGAATTAATTAGGGAATTAGGGGATGAGGGGATTAATTAGGGAATAAAGGAATTAGGGAATCAGGGAATTAATTAGGGAATTAGAGAATCATGGAATTAGGGAATTAATTAGGGAATTAATTAGGGAATTAGAGAATCATGGAATTAGGGAATTAATTAGGGAATTAGAGAATCATGGAATTAGGGAATCAGAGAATCAGGGAATTATGGAATCAGAGAATTAGGGAATTAGGGAAACAGGGAATTACAGAATTAGGGAATTATGGAATTAGGGAATTAAGGAATTAGGGAATTAATTAGGGAATTAATTAATTAGGGAATTAGGGAATCCGGGAATTCTGGGAATCAGGGAATTAGGGAATCAGAAAATCAGGGAATCAGAGAATCATGAAATTAGGAAATCAGGGAATCAGGGAATTAATTAGGGAATTAGGGAATCAGGGAATCAGGGAATTAGGGAATTAATTAGGGAATTAATTAGGGAATCAGGGAATTCTGGGTTTGGAACTCAACCCCTCCGAGCGGGAGCCCAGCTCTGCCGGGGGAAATTAAAATAAAATTAACGTCAGGGAATTAATTAGGGAATTAATTAATTAATTAGGGAATTAATTAGGGAATTAATTAGGGA